TTTCCATCTTTTGTTTATTCATTTCAAAGCAAAAATGGAACATATTTATTGAGCATATTGTATGTGCTCATAATTCTCATTTCTTAAGGTTTTATTAATCCTATTTTTAAAAAGAGAAAAGTGAGGCTCTGAGAGATCAAATAATTTGCCCCAAATCAGACAGCTAGCAGGGGTAAAGCCAGAATTGATACCCTAGCACATATGATTCCATATGGAATACTGCTTTCTTACATTATTGCATATTATTTCTCTTTGATTTGACTACAATCTTTTTTTTTTAATCCTCACCCGAAGAAATTTTTCTATTTCCTTCCAGATAAAGTGGGAGGGAGGGAGGGAGAGAGAGAGAAACATCGCCATGAGAGGGACACACTGACTGGTCGCCTCCTGTAAGACTAGACCAGGGCTGGGGACGAACTGCAACCGAGGTACGTGCCCTTGACCAGAATTGAATCCACAATTCATTGGTGTGTGGGCCAACGCTCTAACCACCAGGCCAGGACAAGATTTGACTACAGTCTTAAGATACTTTTGACCCTCTGTAAAAAGAGCTTATTGTGCTTACAGATTTTTCATTAAAAACAGGTGATCCACACTTGTTGATGTTTTTGTGTCTCTTAAGTCTTCTCTATAGTTATAGTGAATGAATGAAAAATATGTAAGCCCAAACGATGCCACCAGTTGATGAAAACTAGATAGATGAGTGCAAATTGATTTAGAAAGGCAGAGAAGGGCACAGCTTAAAGAGCTCCAGAGGAAAATTTGGTCAGGAAGGAAGATACTTGACTGACAGAACCCTAGAGAGCTTTGAAAACAAAGATGGGACATCCACTGGAGCTGGGGATGGGGGGGGGGGGGGGGGTGAGAAATAGGACTGAAACAGAGCTGATGGAAAATGAGATATCTGTGATCCTGATGATGTTTATATTTTAAATGAGGCACTGAAAAGGTGATTGGGAAGTCTGGGTCTGTTATCAGGTTCATAATTTCATCTACTTTGTGTAGGATGATCAAGAAGGAAGATAGCTGTTTTTTCCTCCTGTCCCCAGCCCAATTCATGTCCTCTCTGAGAATACCTGTTCCATGTAGGCAAGACATTAGAGGTTCTCTCCTGGAGAAATGGAATAGTTCTACAGAACAGACCTCCACATTCTGAAATATACATTTCGTAAGTCCATAGCAGGTTTATTCACCCAACTCAAAACTGGAAAAACCCACAACAAGATAATTGGTTCCAAATGGTTTCACAAGATAATTGTTACATAAATTGCAGTAGGTTCAGATAATAAAATACTACTCAGAAAAAGGAAGAGCGAGAAGAGAAACAAACTATCAAGCTTCCTTAACCTAATGTGAAAATTTCAAAAGGCTGGTTGTCTCAGGGGTAGCAGAAATACTTGGAAGGGGCAGGAGTGAATTTTCTAGGGTTATGAGAATGTTTTGTAGTTTGAGAGGGACATGGGTTATAATGACATATGCATATCAAGCCTCACTAAGGTGGATCCTGGACCACAGCTCGGTTGGTTAGAGCATCATCCGATACGCCAAGGTTGAGGGTTTGATCTCAGCTCAGAGCACAGACGAGAAGCAACCAATGAATGCATCAATAAGTGGAACAACAAATTGATGTTTCCTTCTCTCTCCCTTCCTCAAATCAATAAATAAAAATTAAAAAAAGAAAAGACTCACCAAAGTAAACACTTATGTTTCACAGTATGTAAGAGTGCATGTAAAGTATACCTCAAAATTAAAAGGCAAAAAGAATAAAATTCCATTTTCAATCATGATACTATGTCAGCAATTTAAAGATAGAAGATAACTTCCTTAATCTGATGAATTAAGTATCCCTCTCAAAACCTATAGAAAACATCACAATTTTAATGACAAAATATAGAAACATTTTAATCAAAGGTAGCTAAAATATGGAGGCATTTGCTAATATCTTTATTGGTCAACATTGTATTCGCCATTGTTATAAGACAAAGGAATAAAAATACAGAAAAAGTTTTCATTATACACCTTTTATTATTTCATGAAACACGTGAATGTAACACCTATTCCAAAATTAAATTTAAAAAATCAAAAATAAATGTTGCTGAATTAGCTCAGAAAAAAAATGAGCTATTATAATTTGAAATGAACATCATCCTTTTCTGATAATATTATCTATATAAAAAAATCCAAGAATATCTACAGACAGGTTATTTGATCTCTTTTTTAAATAAGGACCGTGGTTCTATCAAATCAGGGCCCCGCTCTTATGACCTCATTTAACTTTAATTACTTCCCTAAAGGCTCTATCTCCAAATATAGACATATTCAGGGTTAGGGCTTCAAAATATGCATTTTGAGGGGACACAGTTCAGTCCTTAACAGTCAGATTCACAAGTTCATTTGTGTTTCAATTACTTATTATATATAAATCTACCCCAGCCAGGCTGGTGTGGTTCACTGGTTGAGCATCAACCCAAACACCAGGAGGTCACCGGTTCAATTCCCAGTCAGGGCACATGACCAGGTTGTGGGCCCAATCCCCAGTGGGGGCATGCAGGAGGTGGCCAATCAATGTTCTCTCTCATCAAGTTTCTCTCTATCTAAAATCATTAAAAATATATGTATTAGAAACAAAAACAAAAAAACACCCCTAATCTCTTAATGCAACAATAATACAATATTTCTCATGATCCTATAGGTTGGCCAGGTGTTTCTGCTTTCACATGATGTTGGCCAAAGTTTCACCAATTTTTTCACTAGCACAGAACACGACTTACCCTTCCTCCACACTTGAGTAGTAATCCCCTCCCTGCTTCTGCAGCTTCCAACAGTCTCCTTGCTGCCTCCACCTACTAGCCAGTTCCAGAGCCACGTCACATGTTTTTATTATAGAGCACCTCATTTTTAGGTACCATTTTCTCTTTCAACTAGTCTTTGTTGTGGAACACAACACCCCAGAGTTTAAGGGCCTACATCAGGAAGACTTCATCATTTCACGTAATTCTGGGTCGGCCAAGCCGTCCTCTGCTGGTTTCACGCAGGCTCATCCCTGCAGGTGCGTTCTGCCGGCAGGTCAGCTGTCTGGGGCTGACGGTAGCAGGATGGCTGGGTTTCTCTTTCCATGTGCTCTCCTGTCCTGGGCTTCATCGGGCTATGGTGGTCTCAGGGCAGCAGTCCAAGACAATGAAGGCAGAAACTCTAGCACATTATGTGTCCCAATCTCTGGAACTTGCAAAATGTCACTGCGGCCACATTCTACTGGGAAAAGCAAAGAGCAAAGCCAGCCCAGATTTGAGAGGTCGGGAAATAGATGCCACCTCTTGACAGAGGAACTGCAAAGACTGTGTGGCCATACTGAATTTATCACCGAGAGTTATGCCATGTTCCTGAATGGCAAGACCCAATAGCATCAAGATGTCAGTTTCTTCAAATAAATCTGCACGGTCAATGTCATACCAATCAAAATCTCAGCAGAGTATTTCAGAAAACTTGATAAAATGTTCCTAAATTTCATTTGGAAGGGCAAAGGGCTCGGAATCACCAACACAATTCTGAGGAAGGACTGGTCCTCACAGTTATCAAGATTTATTATGAAGCTATAGTAACAGCAATTCAAGGAGCTATTCATGTGAGGTCCACACTGTATACAGCAGAAGTGGGATATATCACAACCCCTGAGCAATTTACCTTTATGATTTAATAGTGAAAATATAACCTGGCCGGTGTGGCTCAGTGGATTGAGCATCTTTTCATAGACTGAGAGCTTCCGGTTCGATTCCTGGTCAGGGCACATATTCTGGTTACAGGCTCGATCCCCAGTGAGGGGTGTGCAGGAGGCAGCTGATGGATGTTTCTCTCTTACATCAATGTTTCTATCTCTCTCCCTTTCTCTCTCTCTCTGAAAATAAAAATAAACATATTAAAAAAAGTGAAAATATACAAATATAAGGTTGTGAAAAGAAATTTTTCAGCTTTACTGAGACAAAATTGACATGCATAATATGTCTTATATATCTCAGTATATGTATATTTTCATATTGTAAAATGATTACACTGTAGCTTTAGCTGACACCTCTGTCCTGTCACATGATTATCATTTCCTTCTGATGGTAATAACATTTAAGATCGACTCTCATAGTAACTTTCAAGTATATACTACAGTTATTAACTGTAATCACCACACTGTACATTAGATCCCCAGAACTTATCTTATAACTGGAAGTTTGTGCTCTGTGACCAGCACCTCCCCATTTCCCTCCCCACCCCCATTCCTGGTGACCACCATTCAGTCTCTGTTTCTATGAGTTTGGCTCTTTTAGATTCCACATGTAAGTGTATCATGTAGCATGTGTCTTTCTCTGCCTGACTTAAGTCACTTAGCATAATGCCAGGAAAAAAATGTTAAGATATATTTCTCTATTGAGCTCTATCATAAAATACCCTAATAGATACAGCTTTTGTTTTTTTGCCATGGGTGAGTTAAAAACTTTGTGTGCATGTGTATATATGAGTTCTGTCTCAATTTTTGAAGAATATAGAGTACTTTTTAAAAAATTTTTATTGAATTTATTGGGGTAACACTGGTTAATAAAATTATATAGGTTTCTGGGGTACAATTCTATATATATTGAACTGTGTGCTCACCACTCCAAGTCAAGTCTCCTTCCACCACCATTTATCCTTCTATACCCTCTTCTACCTCCAAGAATTTGTATTTGATGCACATTTTTAATTGAGCAGATACTAATGATGTGTATTTGGAACTGAAGGCAGCTTGAAAGTAAACATGACTGAATTCCAAAACCTGTTAGAGCGAGAATGGCAAATCCCTTGAACTGGAAAGGAAATGCCGATGTGGCAGCAAAACTTTTTTAAAACAGAAAGAGGAAGACTCTCGTACCAGCAGAACCCCGCATACGTACATACATTACAAAAATTTAAAAAGCCACCTTCCAGTTCATAAAACAAAAGCCGCCTATAGTATGGGAAAGTACAAACTGCAGAAAACCGAAGTCCCTAGAGGAAAAACTACTGGTCTACGTGAGAAAGGAGATGCTTCCCTCGGAGCAGTTACTTGGTGAAGGCCGCCACCACCGCCCACAGCACCTCGCTGGCGTTGGCCTTCAGACACTCCACCTCAGGACCCACGTCGAGGAGCTGTCGCACCCTCTCGGTGGCTAGATCATACTGCTCATCGAGCAGGGGGGCGAAAGCATTCTCCAGAACATCCGAGGCGTGGGCTAGGTAGATGAGGGCCAGCAAGCGCTTGTCCATGCGGTGAGGGTCGTTCACCCATCTGTCAAGAACAGCTTCCTGCACCTTCTTGATGAGGCGCTGCTTGATGACGTTGTTGGTGAGGGGATGTGTGGTCATGTCAACAAGGAGGAAGTTCTGTCTCTCTGTTGTCAAGACACCCCTTTCTACCAGGTTTTTAATCATCTTTGCAGGCTTCATAACCGGTGTGCAGTTCTAGGGCATTCCATGTCTCACCTAAACAGTAGCTTTTAAAGTTACAGAAGTCCAGCTGTTTCTTCGTATTCAAAATATGAAGAAGCAACATGTGTTGGTGGTAGCAAGTGTGTCTCTAGAGAAGTGGGAAACAAGAGTGCTCTGTGGCTGCCCGTGTTCCTGGAATGTGAACCTCCTGGGACAGCCATCCCCTCTGAATAGTCTCTGCAGCCCCGGCACCAGGCATGTTCCTGGAAAATAGTACATCAATTAGAACAGATTGATGATAGTTTCAGTATGAGGTAGAAATGAGCCAAACGGTAAAACGATCCTTTTGGTACATTTCTATTGACATAAAGGTGTCCATAAATAGCCAAAGTATAGATGAGCAGGGTTTGTTTATTTGTATTGTTTAACAAACTTTTTATTTTATTATTTTTTTATTTTATTTTATTTTTTTTAATCCTCACTCGAGGACATTTTTCCATTTTTTGTTCAGATAGAGTGGGAGGATAGAGTGGGAGGGAGAGAGGGGATGGAGAGAGAGAGAGAAACATCGATGTGAAAGGGACACATCGAGTGGCTGCCATCCGCACGACCAACCAGGGCCGGGGACAAACTGAAACTGAGGTACATGCCCTTAGCGGGATCTGAACCCGGGTCTCTCTAGACCGCAGGCCGACGCTCTAACCGCTGAGCCAAACCGGCCAGGGCTGTTAACAAACTTTTTAAAAGAATAATTTTAGATTTCCAAAAAAAGTTGTGAAGATAATAGAGTTCCCATACCCTGTTTCCCCATTATTGTGATACATTTGTCACAATTAGTAAATTATACTGATACACTACTACTAACCAAAGTCCATCCAGTATTCAGGTTTCCTTCCGTTTTTGTATGATGTTCTTTTTCTGTTCCCGAGTCGCATCCAGGCTACCGTATTGCCTTTATTCATCATCTCTCTTTAGGCTCCTCCTGGCTGTCACAGTTCTCCAGACTTTCCTTTTTTCTGATGACCTTGACAGCGTTGAGAAGTACTACTCAGGTTAGTAAGTTGTCCCTCTTTGGGATTTCTTACGTTTTCCTCATGATTAGATTGAGGTTATGGGTCTTTGGAAGTAGACCACAAAGAGTCTATATTGTCAACATGACTTATCACTGTTGATGTTGACCTTAACCGCCTGGCAGAGGTACTGTTTGCCAGGTGTCTCGCTGTAAAGCTGTTTCTCCCTACACCTTTGTGCTCTTGGAAGGAAGTCACTATGTGCAACACACGTTGAAGGAGTGGTGAGTTACGATGCACTTCCTTGGGAGTGAGTCATTTATATAAATCACTTGAGATTGAAAGCTTCCTTTTTCATTAACAATTACATCGAGGTTTTCATTAAAGATGGCTGGTTGAATAACGACTCTGTTCCTGGTGAAAACGCTGTGAAAACGAGAGTAAAAGGATTTCTATAGAAGCACAAATCCATGAGACCAGGAGAGAAAACAACAGCAGTAAAATGTCGGACGCTGCGCAGTCACTGGGCTAATGCTAGATGGATGAGTGGGTCTCAGAAAGCTGAACCCAAAGTGGCAGTGGGCAAGGCAGAGAGCTGACCTACTCTACACTGCAGAACCCCAAGGGCTCAGAAACTGGCACCAGGTAGCTGTGGAGGCCACCACAGCTGTGGGGGAGGAGGAGCAAGTAGGGTAGGACTGAAAACAGAGGCACTGTTTGAAAGTCTATATCAAAGCATCTCCTGATCTTTCCCTGTTCTGTGCAGCCACCCCAGTCCCAGAGAATGAAATGGAAGGTCTCTCGTCTCGGGGACACAGGCATGGCTGAAGGAGGCAGGAATCTCCCACTGAAAACAGAGATAAAGTAAAAGTAAAAGCCCTCCCCTTCCTCTCCACTCATGGGACATGGGAAGCTAGGATTATCCCCTCTAGGGAAAACACTGAAGAGTCTTCTCTGGAAAATTCCACCAGCCCAAGAGTCAAGGATACAAAAACATGTGAAATCTGAGGATTTCCCCAGAGAATGACAATAAAGCTCCCACTCCACCACCTCCCACCACACAACATACAGCTTCCAAATAACTCTTTTGGCCTTCCTTTCTACCAGGAGTGGACTGCCAGAGTGTCATACACTTGGGAACAACCTTCTAATGTGAAACACAGAGTTCAACATAAAATATAAAAATAACAAAAATATGTTTATAATTTCTCTGAAGTGTAAGCAGCCCAACTATCTAGTCAACTGATGAATGACAAAGCAAAGTCAACACAATGGAATACTCTTCAATGATCAAAAGGAATGAACTCCTGACTCCTGGTACAACAGGATGACCTTCATGGGAAGTGGAAACCATCATGAGAAGTGAAAGATAGAAAAAACAGAAGAGCACATATTGCATGATTCTACTTATATGACATGTCTAGCAAAGGCAAATGTATAGACTGGGAATGGTGACCTGCAAATCGGCACAGGAGATCTTTCTGGGGTGATGGAAATATTCTAAAACTGCATTGCAGTAATGGTTGAGTGACTCAATAAATAAGCTAAACATCAGTGAATTAGACAATGAAATGTGTGAATTTAATGGCATATAAAATATACTCCCAATAAGTCCCCCCCTTTTTTTCATTTATTTTCAGATACAGTGGGAGGGAGAGAGGGAGAAAGAGAGAGAGAAACATTGACATGAGAGAGACACATCGATCAGTTGCCACCTGCATAACCCCAACCGGGGCCAGGGACGAACTGCAACCGAGGTACATGCCCTTAGCGGGAACTGAACCTGGGACTCTCTGGACCGTGGGCTGACGCTCTAACCACTGAGCAAAACCGGCCAGGGCTCTCTCCCCATTTCTTAAAGGAACTCAGAGGAAATGCGCACTATAGAGGGAGAAGAAAAAAATAGAAAAAAGTCATTACTGTTCTCAGAAAATTAAGAGAGGATACTGTATTCATAAAACAGGAACAAAATAGTAGATCTAAAAAGAATATTCAGAGAATAACAACAAAAACATTAGAAAAATAAATTGGATGGCCAAAATAAAATACTCAGTAGAAAATTGAATGAAATAGTTAGGGAATCCAAACTGTAGAGCAAAATGGCAAATAACTGGGTAATAACAAAGAAAATTTAAGAGATTAGTTGATCAATTCAAGAAGCTTAATGGCTAATAATAGGAGCTCCAGAGAAAGCAGAAAAGAATAGTAGAGAAAAGTGTTAATAAAATGATACAATAGAATTTTCCAGAACTGAAGAACATGAGCCTTTTCTCAAAAAGGCCTTTCGGGTAAATTCCAAAGAATAAAAGTCAAAAAAACAAAACAACAAAACCCCCAACAAACAATAAAAAAGGGGGGGGCTCATTTTCTTGCCATTTCAAACACTGGGGATGAAGGGAAGATTCAAAGCCTTTGGTGGGGGTGAAGGAAGTGTGGGGAGAGGTGATGAACAGAAGATTGTGAATAATAACGGCATCAAATTTCCCAAATGGGAGCCAGATCTTCAAATTTCCAAGGCAAAATTATTTTTTAAGCAAGAATTCTAAATGTACTTCCCAATCTCCTTTCTCAGGAAGTTATCTGCAGATGAGCATGTGTGTGCGCACGCACACACTCACACAAAGGGCTCATGGGATTGAGGAAACAGGACCCAACAGAGAACGGCCAGGCGGTGGCACGTGGCAGTCCCGAGGAGCCAGCGGCCCGCAGCGGGCCACCCAGATTGCAGCAGGAGCACTAGATAACTCTGCAATTATCTACCACGTTTGGTATAAAATTAAATTTTACAGAGCTGCTGAGGACGTGGACATATTTAGTCAGATGTTCAAAGAAAATTAAGAAAATGTTTAAAAATGAGGCAATTCTAGAAAAAAACAAGTTACGTAAGAGACAATATATAATCATGCTACTTGGCTCAAAAGTAAATGACATACTGCATAGACAGTCAAAATGATGAAAACACTGAATATAATTTAATAGATATTTGAGATATAATTTTATTGAAAAGATGGTGGAAGGGAGAAAGGGTATGTAAATGAGCTAAAATCCTTATTATCTGTAATTGGAAATCAACAGATGAGTCAAAGCAGAGCAATATATATATTATATATATTAATAATATATATATAATTTAATATAGTAATTTAATTTAATATATTTTAAATATATTATTATAACTATTATATAATAATTTAATAAATTATATAATTTAGAAATAAGAAAGTAAAATCAGAGAAAATAGCTAACAGAATTGAAATTGGTTACTTGGTAGATAATGGGGGTAGGAAGGTGAACAGAAGGGGCTGCCGTTTTGTAAAAAGTACTTTTAGCAATATTTGATCATTTATGCTATTCAAATATAGCACTTAGATAAAAATGAAAGGTGATTAAAAATAATTATAATCATTATAGTGAATGCAAAAATGTATAGTTGAAATGATCTAGTAGCAAGAAATAGGAAACTTTAAATGATAGTTTTAATACTCAATTTAATATATGTAACATTTTATTTAATCATATGAATTAATGGCAGAAGAAGACATGATTTGGAAAAGCCATTTTGCTCTTTATGATTTGCTTAGTAAAATTGAAGTTTTAAAGTTGTGATAATTAATTTATGAAAGGTTGAGGATTTGATTCCTGCTTTCTGAGGTTTATTAATATTTAAAGCCTGAGTCCATATTTGAAGCAGAAAGAGCTTTATCAAATGAAAAAGTGGCAAATCATTCCTCTTTGAAGAAAAACATTACACTTTGCATTCAAATTCCTTCCTTATCTTTTTAAAAGAAAATAGACAGCATTGATATTAGGCCTCATTATATTTACTATCCTAAGAGTTTGTCAAAGGAAATTATACCCAAATGATAACTGTAATCCTGAGTATTTCTTGTTTCTGGGTTCAACATATGTACACACACCCGTACATAAATATGAAGAAATTTTTTTTTTATCCACCTGCCGTCTGACCCCAGCAATGGGACGCCTCCCGCCTCCAGAAACACTTACTTT